TCCAGCAGACAGCGAGGCATGATTTTAAGTTACTGACAGCTTTGGAAATATATATATATATATATATATATATATATATATATATATATATATATATATATTTATTTATATATATATGTACCGGGGGTGTCAAAAAATGTACACGCACAACTTGTATTCATCTTTTGTTACCGGTATATATTATTACTATTTTAATGCAGTTTTTTCCTTTCTTAAAATGTGTATTCATGTTTATGGATATATATATATATATATAATCTATATATATATATAGATATATATATCTACATTATATATATATAATTTTCAATTATATTTATAATTTTCAATTTTATATACATATAATTTTCAGTTATATCTATATATAATTTTCAATTTTATATATATAATTGAAAAATTTTACACTGGGAAGAACCATAGAAATGAAAATAAATGGGAGGCACAGAGGAAAGCACTCACTTCTTTTTGGAATTTAAAAGATCTTAGTTCAAATCCTGAATCAGGATGTTCACCAGCTGTGTAATCGGTTGCAAGTTCCTTAACCTCTCTGAGGCTTGTTTTCACATCTGCAAATGCCTCCAAAGATTGCTGTAAGGATTCCCTAGTTAATGATGGCAGAGCACCTGGTCCACAGTGGCATTCTATGAATACCTATTGTTTTTCATCAGAGCACTCCCCCTGCCCACAGCCATGCCCAGTTGGTATCCTGGAGCTCAGTTTCCTGGCTGCGGTTCACTGCTCTCATGTGTCCTTTCCAGTCATGCAATTCTATAATTCTTTAGAATATGTCTTCTACTAGCCTGAAAATTCAAACACACTTCCCTGATGAGATGATGGTCTCTTTCCCTTTTCTTGCCTCCCCTTTCTGTGTTCCCCAAAACATGTTCACAAGTAGATGTACAATGTTTTTTTGCTGGCAGTTTCGGTATAATGTGTAATTTGGTGTTCTAATTTAAAAGTATCTGGGAACCCTGGGGCATTTCATTCTGTACTTGTTCTTACAAGTTAAAGCCTGTTCAAATCATGTACACATGTGGGTATGGTTGGGGTCTGGCCCACACCTATATTTCAGACAATTAGCTATATAATATTGAGTACTGACACAGAATTAGAAAATTATAGATTTAAAAGCTTCATGAAAATCAATAAACAAACCACTCCCCCACCCCCTTTCTGTAGAAAGAAAAGAGGCAGTAGGGAATAAATTGCCACCTCTAATTGGCAATAATCAAATTCAAAAACACCTAAGAAAAAGCGTGCAGTGCTTCAGGTGGCAGTATTAAAAAAGAAAGTTTCTGTGAAATTACACTGATGATTTTTTTTCACATACCAAGTGCTCTATATTTAATTGAACACTGCCTCTTTTGACTGCAAAATCTATGTTGAAAATATTGTAATATGGCTATCTCAACCAAAACTGAATGAGCACAAATTACCTGCAGTTTTACACAGCAAGCCTTAATGATGTTCTAGAAAATGAAGTCCGTCTTTACAAATTCTAATTACATCTCCAGACATTTGATCTATTCTCTTGTTCTCCCCAAATCTGGGGTCATAATAAAATCCATGTGGTGTTTTGAGCTTTAATAACTCGTGAATGGTTTTCAAACTTAGGAATACATAAGAAGCATCTGGGTAGCTTTTAAAATGCACATTCCTGGCCTGCACTGTCATAGAGATTCTTTTTTCCTATAACTTTATTGAGGCATATTTTACATGTCATATAATTAACCCATTTCAAGTGTACAATGCAGTGATTTTTGTAAATTTACTAAGGTGTGTAACCATTATCATAAATGAGTTTTAGAACATTTTTATCTCCCCCTAAAAGGTCTGTCATGTCCATTTCCACCCTCTGCCTCAGGAAAAACAAACCTACTTTATGATTCTGGAGATTCGCCTTTTCCAGACATTTCATATCAATGGAATCAAACAACACGTGGTTGCTTGTGTCTGGCTTTTTTTGCTAAGGATAATGTTTTTGAGGTTCAATAAGTCAAAGCATATATCAGTGGTTTGTTTCTTTTCATTGGTGAATAGTATTTCCTTATATGGATGTGCCATATTTTGCCCATTGACCAGTTGATACACATTTAGATTGTTTCCATTTTTGGCTTTTATGAATGATGCTGCTCTGAACATTTGTGAGCAAATCTTTGTGGGACATGTGTTTTCGCTTCCCTGGGGTAGATATCTAAGAGTGAAGTCACTGGAACACATGGTAATTTTATGTTTAACTTTCTGAGAAAACACCAAACTATTTTCCAAAGTGCTGCATTTTAAATTCCCACCCTATAGAGATTTTGATGAATAAGACTGGGTGGTGTCAGAGATCTGCACCCTGAACCTGCTTCCCAGGTTAATTCTAATGAAGCTAGATCCAAACTACTCCTTAGATTATATGTGTGAAAAACAAACTTCTGAGTAGAAGTTATAGAGAAATGCCTTGACATATTGAGCATTCTACCACAATTCTGGACCAAATGGGTGTTTTCTTTGAGTTGTGAGATAAATGAAAAAGGCCCCACCACAAGAGTGTCTCTATGGTGTACCCATCAGGTGAGACGATAGGAAGGAAAATTTACAACTCATCATGAAATGATGCTAGATTTCTTTTCTCATAACTTCAACACAGGTTGCCCCAAATCTAAACTTTCTAGATTGCATAGGTCTTTACAAAATCCTTGCTCACTGCTTTGAGACAGAAAAAGGAATGCAAGATTAAATTTAGTAGGTGGTACTTAAGACTGCATTTCCTTGTGAAAATCATGGGCTCCAGGAGATGGGGAATCACTTGCTGATTAGCTGACCTGTGCTTAGCAAGCTATTATTTCAGTAACTGCCCCTGGGGTGTGAGGAGGAAAACAAGCTGATTGTAATGCATCTAATCACCCATGTCCTGCTTGCTGTGCCAGGCAACTTTCAAGTGTTTAGAGTTTTTACCTCCAAGGAGAAAGACAGCACAACGTCAGACTTGGAGAGCTGGTTCTCACTCTCCTCCCCCATGTCGATGATGGAAGCGTTGTGGCTGCGTTTGAGCTTCTGCAGCTTGAACTCGCCACCTTTAGACACCGGCATGCTCTCCAAGTTGGCCATGAGCAGGTTGACAGAGGACTTCAGCTCCTCAATGTACATGTTTTCCATTTCTTTGGATACAAACTTGGGAAATTTGCGTTCCTGGGAAAGCAAAAGAAAAATATGAGCAGAGGAGTAAATAGAGAAC